ATTTAAAAGGAGAACAGAAAAAGGGATAAAGTAAGTAAGTAAGGTTTGAAGTAACAGTGGAAGACCTCATGCAATTGAGTCAAATGAATGAGCGTCGGTCGGTAAAATACGTCCAATTTAAAAGATATGGTGGGAGATTATGTTGCTATAACAGTGAAAATAGGATGTTTATGTCAACAGATTTAAACACCTTTGTGTAGTTCAAGAAACAAACATGAACAATTTTCTTTTTGATCTGTAGTGGATAAAATAGAATGTATAAGACAAGCGACCGCATCTAAAGTAGAGCGACGCTTATAATAAGCAAACTATTTGGAATCACGAAAATCAAGAACAGAGGATAGATGCTGAATAATTATTCGCTCAAAAGTTTTAGGTAATACTGGAAATGAAGCAATAGGCTGAAACTAACCCTTTTCTCTCTTAAATACTGGAGTGATGCAAACATCACGCCATGTGTTAACTAGTCTTCTTTCTGAAAGATATTTATTGAAGATGAATGAAACGTTTTGTGCGAGGTGTTTTGCACATGTCTTTAAAACCACTGGGGATAACCCATTGGTTCTCGTTAACTACGATCGAGATAGAATTCCGAAAGAAAGAACAAAAAGTATAGAAAAATGCATATTTATTTTNCCGGCCTGTACCTTTTGTAATGCTCATGTTGTCACGTCCAATCCATCCGTTTGCTGATGGCACTCCTGCTGTACAGTCGATGTTCACTGGGCCTGCCAAAGACTCAAGGTATGGTTTCTCCCTTGGGTTAGCTGGGCAAGCACCAGGTCCCATGTTGCGGCTGAACCATTGGACCGATCGATAAATGAACCCAATCGGTTGTGCGATTTTCGGGCCGGCACACACAAAACTCTGCTTGGTTTTTTCTGAACTGGGTGTTTTCGCGTTGAACGATCTCGCTAACTACGATCGAGATAGAATTCCGAAAGAAAGAACAAAAAGTATAGAAAAATGCATATTTATTTTATAATAGTTGTTCAATATGTTTTCTATTCTGCTGTTTGCATAACAAAATACAGTGAAGATAGTTTTCTTCCACCTTCAGAATGATAGCAGTTGGAATACTTTCGCACTGCGCCACAATACTCTGTTTAAGCTCCTCGATCGTTCTCGGTTTTCGGGAATAAACGGTTCGCTTTAGATAGCCCCACAAAAGGAAATACAAATGGGACACATCAGGTGTTCTTGGAGGCCACTCCTTTGGTCCTCCTAGGCCAATCTATCTGAAGTTAAATTTCGAGTCGAGGAAACGTCTCACCAGCAGAACATTGTGTGGCGGTGCACCGTCATGTTGGAACCAAACTGTAGTACCAACTTCAATTTCTATACGCCGGATGGCAGGTACCACACGCTTGGATGTGTGGTAAACGGTTTTCAAGGATGAAGGCATTTTTTACTTGAACGAAAATGTGACAACGTCCATTCGTTGGGCTGTTGTAAACCCAAGACAGTTTGTTGGCTCAAGATCGCTTCATATTTCCAAGGTGTTAGTAAGGGCTGGCATTGTGCACGGCAAGATTGTCGGGCCATACTTTTTCAACGGAAACGTAACAGGTAAGAACAATTTTAGTACTCCTCATACTTGCAAATGTTACAAGATAATGTGGTACTTATCATCCGGCGTATAGAAATTGAAGTTGG